TGAGGACTGTAAGGATGTAATTGTAAGGGCTTAATTTTTTTAGCTGGCGACCATATAGTCCCATGTATGAAGATATAAAAAGTTTAATAGAAACTGAAGGAATGTAGCCAGTTTTCTTGATAAAGGAAGGAATAGGAATTTGTAATATACGAACAAAAGTGTACCATGTAGGTAAGAAAGTACTATATGTTCCTATTTTTAAATGACATAGGAAAGTGTTTAAAAAAGCAAATACACCTCTAGCAGAAGTAGATTATTTTTCACAAGATTACTTCTCAAGGTAATAATTTCAATTCAATTTATTTATAATGCATCAAGTCACAACAGAAGTCATCTCAGGGCACTGGACAGAAACATTTATGTATATCAAAATAAGTTAACATTTATCTGGTTTGTAAACTCACTCAGTCATTGGTATTTTGAGTCAATTTTCTTTTCATCTATAAACTAAACATGTTTGTAAGCATTTAGTAAAATCTTTTTTATTTATTCTTTTGTCAGTAACTGTAATGTAGTCTGAGCTACAAGTGTTCTTGTATTAAAAGATGACTTTGCTTAAAGGAAAAAAGCCCAGAGACTAAAAAATGTATCTTATAAAATCTGTGGTTCTATTTCATATAGGCGTCGCCCTTTAAGGCTGTTGCTTAGTGGGTTTTATCCCGTTATGTGAAGCATTGCACTGAAAAATTTAGTCCACGCCCACCTGCTGTGTGGGCCCCACCCGGTCCGTATAAATTACGTTAAGAGCGGGTAATCAGCTCCCATTTTTCTTCAGCGAGCTAATAGCACTGTCAGAAGAACGAAGAAGGAAAGTTGTGTAGATGACCAACCTTTGTTAAGAATGCTTGGCCCATCACGTCGACCTGGTGAGCTCTCCTCCCCGAGGAGAAGCTGACAAGCAGTCTTGTTTCAAGGTAAGCGCCAAGGAGTATTTCTCAGTGACAGGTGAGACACACTGGACGACGCCATCTTGTAATTTTCCTCTTATCGCAGACCCTCGGAGCAAATCGGATGGTTCCTCCTGGACAGGCGGCGTTCAGCTGCAGCCCCGCTGCTCATTCCCTCCTGGAGAGTGTAGTGTCAGTGGAGGGGGGCTGAGCGAATGCTCACCTCATCCCACCTCGTTTCGCATCGGCGATCACACTGCTCCTGGTCGACGGCGCCCTCTGGGGTTGCCCGGCGTAACCCAGGAGGCTGCTGACATTAAGGGGCCCTTAAATACGTCCCACGCCTTTCCCGCCAGTTCGGATGATCCGGCGGGAAGGTTTTTTCTAGGCTCCATCCCGGCTCACCGTCCTGATCCCATCTGGCCTCGGTTTCCCAACAGGACGTTCTACGGGACGAGGCCACAGCCGGCTTTCCTGGTAGATTGGGTATAGATCCACAGTCCGCGCCCATCTCCAGAGCAGGCGTTTCACCGAGCGGAAATTCCCTCAGTGCCCCCTGGAGCCGAGCCTGACGGAGGCTTTTCTCGGAGCAAGATTTCCAGGTGGACCAGCGTCCCGCGCCTCTAGTTAGCATAACCCAGACGGTGACACCGTTCTCCAACTGAGCTCACCAGCATGCGTTCCAGACGGCCGCAGCGAACAACACGTTACGCTGTTGGCGTACACGTTCAGAGGCGGGAGGAGACGTATGCTCCGTCTGCAGGGCAGCTGATGTCATCCCCAACCGGTGTGCCTCTTTGCTGCCTGCATCACAGCCGGAGGACGGAGTTTTCAGCGTTTCCCTGAGACCGCCAACAGATGGCGCTCTAGGACAACAAATGGCAGAGCAAATGACGGTTTTGGCGGAGGATGTGTGTTAAGGTGACACGAGTTTGGAGTAAAATATCATTTAATGATGAAAGTGTCTATTTTCAGCCTGTCTGTCAGCTCAGATGACCTGACAGTGGCTCCCTCTCACACCCTCCACACGAAATGAGCCAGTGGCAAGACGTTCCACAGCCATCTCGCTGAGCTTCAGCCCCGTCCATCAGAGACCGGCCCCCTTCATCCCGGCAACAGAGTGTCCAACGTTTTTCCCAGAGATCCCCAGCAGACGGTGCCCTGGGCCAACAAATCCCAGAGCTCATGGGGGAAAAGATTCAAAATGACGGTCTGCGGAGGGTGTGTGTAAGTATGACACAAATGTTGAATAAAACATCATTCAATGATCAAAGTGTCTGTTTTTAGCCAGTCTGTAAGCTCGGATGAACTCACAGCGGCTGCGCACACATCCTCCACACATAACAAGCCGGTGTCCTTAAATAAGGGTTTTTTAAACTCACCGTTGCTCCAAGACATGACGAAACACTCACACGACACAATGGTAAGCGAAATAACTCGTTGTCAACCCGAGCTGCACGATCCTCACCCAAGCAGTGTCAAACGCGCACTCGCGTGACGCAAACAGCCTTCACCCAAACGGCGTTGCGTCGATGATGGTGCACACACAGCTCCCTGGCATTCACCGGCCCACATCGGCATAAATGTGGGACCGCAGGTCAGGTCGGTGGAGGACCTTGCTCTCAGCGAGAGTGACACACGCCGCACCGAAGCAAACGCGTGCCGCCACGGTGCGGGCAGCCTTCACCACCGGGTCTCAGCGCTCAGCCGCTTACAGCAGCATAAGCGTGAGACAGCTGAGCGAACCCAGTGACGAACCTTGCTTCCAGCAAGAGAGGCGCGCGTCCCACCAGAGAAAATGTGTGCTCCCACAGGGCTCGCAGCCTTCACTCAAACAGCACAGCGTAGATGAAGTCGCGCTCACCGCTTCGCAGCGCTCGCCCGCTCATGGCGGCATAGATGCGAGATCTCAAAGCGAACCCAGCGCGGGACACCGCTCGCGGCAGAAGTGACACGCGTTTCACCGCAGTGGCGTCAAACGCGCGGCCCCATGGCGTCATCAGCTGCCACATGCTTCCCCTCAACACACACCAGCTCACCTAGACATGAAGGTGGATCCGCGGTCCAAATGCAGCACACGGGCGCGTTCAGAGCCCTTTCGAGCAAGCCTCGCCTTGGGTCACGCGGAAAACATTCCCGCAACACATGACAGCGGTCGAGGCGGCGGACTGGATGACATCCATACAAAACATGATGCATCACTTAAACGCACGTCCACTCCATGAACGTTACGCGGAGTGGCTAAAAACATGCTCGCCAGACAGAGGGATGGTCAGGGTGTTACGCTACGGTTACACGTTGCAATTTGCAACCCGACCTCCTCCGTTCTGAGGAATTTTAGAGACGGTCCTGTCATCACCAGACCGAATCTCATTCCTAAATGCAGAAGTCCAGGAACTTCTGATAAAAGAGGTAATCTCCAGAGTTCCCAACGGAGAGGAAAACACAGGGTTTTACTTGCATTACTTCCTGGTTCCCATATGGACCGGAGGAACGAGACCCATTTTGGATCTGTGAGTTCTCAACAAGGTGATCATGGACAGACCGTTTCACATGTTGACAACCAGACAGCTGTTGGACAACATCTAGAGAAACAATTGGTTTGTTCCATTGTCCTAAAAGACGCCTATTTTCACATACCAATCATCCTAAAACACAGAAAATTCCTGCGTTTCTCCTTTCAAGGGGTGAAGTATCAGTACAGCAGGCTGCCGTTCGGGTATTCCCTCGCGCCTCGTACATTCTCAAAGTGTGTGGAGACGGCCCTGCAACCGTTACACAGAGCAGGGATGAGAGTTTTTTGTTTTACCTGTTCGACCTGTTGTTGCTGTCACGCTCCAGACAAGAAGCAGCGGGACAGGTCCAGGCGCTGACATCACACCTGTTAAATCTGGGCTTCGCCATAAATTGGAAGAAAAGCTCAATTGTCCCGGCCCAGACAATTGTTATCTGGGAGTGGAGCTAAACTCAACCACCATGAGGGCTCGTTTATCACAAACGAGAATCGACACTCTGAAAGACCAGCTCTGTCACGTAAGACCTGGCAAAGTAGTAACAGCTCTTTCCATCATGAAGCTGTTAGGAATGATGTCATCGGCTCACACTGTGGTCCCACTGGGTTTATTACACATGGGTGGTTTGCGCGTCTGTGTGTGGATCCAGTAAAACAAGAGAGACAGATGATCATTGTTCCTCCCTCCGTGAGAACAGACCTCCGACACTGGGGAAACTCCCCGGTTCTGTCGGAGGGAGTCCCCGTCAGTAGACCTAAAGTTAAAGGGCTACGCCTATATTCATAGAATCTGGGGTTACAGTACGTAACCAACGTTTTATGTATAGATGTTTTCATTGAGGTAATCCTCAGCTACATTTGCAAGGAACAAAACTTAAAGGGTTCAAAATTGTATTTCACAATGAAGTTCTCGCAACTTAATGCAACTTAAACTTAAACTTAAAGTTAAAAATGTAGCCCAAGTATCGTATATCTCTTCTTAGCCTGAACATTTTGGTATTTCTGTTCGATTACACCCAAGAGCAGAAGAAGAGACATTTTTGTTACTGTGTTTGGAGAATTATACTGCTAAATATGAGCTATTTGAATAATTTACCATAAACCTACAACCAAAGAGGCTGTCAATAAACCAGTGTATTTATTATTTATGGTTCAATATCTGTGCTTAATGTGCTAATCTAGACCAATTTCAATTGAACTGCTTGTGTCTCTTATTGTGTTTTGGTTGAATATAAACAATGAAAACATTGTACATGGCGGCTGTGGCTGAGTGGTTAGAGCAGTCGTCCTCCAATGCAAGAGTTGGGGGTTCGAACCCCACAGCAGTCACATGCCGAAGTGTCCCTGGGCAAGACACTGAACCCCTCATTGCCTCCGATGTGTGTCCCATCGGTGTATGAATGTGATAAATCACTGATTAGTCTCTTTAGAATGATCTGTTCAATTAGCTTTGTAGAGATCTAGTAGTGTGCTGTATGAATGGGTAAATGAGGACACAGATTGTAGTGTAAAGCGCTTTGAGTATCTCAATATGATAGAAAGGCACTATATAAGTACAGTCCATTTACTATTTACCATTGTTTTTGTTGTTTTTGTCATAGATCGGCGCTTACGATCAACAAGTCTGGGAGAAATCACTGGAGACTGCGGATCTAGTTGTAAGGCACATTCCTCTGTAAAGGAATAGTTGTTTGTGTTGCAGAATGTTGCTGCTCTCTGTAATCTGAGGTCATTTGCTGCCTTTAGGAGTTAGAGAGCAAACCAAAGAAGACTGGTCACATCAAACCAGACCTCATCGATGTTGACTTAGTAAGAGGTGAGAAGGATAGACAGGAACTTATCCGTCTGTAATTAATTGCAGTTGAATTCCTATCTAAACCTACATTTGTGTTTAATTAAATTTAGCTTTGCGTTGTTTGGTTCTGGTTCTTCCACTTTCATAGGATCAACATTCAGCAAAGCCAAACCAAAGAGTCCGTGGACAGCTCAGACTCGAAAAGGTCTGGTCCGAGTTCTGCTGTACCCATTCTTCTTTCAGTGGTGGATTCAGGTCACATCCAAGTCCATCTCAACGTGTATCCTGGTACTTTATTTCCTACAAGGTGAGCTCACTGTTTTAATTCCCTTATGTTAGTAATTTGTTAGTCTGTTAGCCTGTTCAACATTAACCATGGAGTGTGATTTTTCTTTCATATCTACTAGAAAACAACAACTAAAAAATATATACCGTACTTTAAGGCAAGATACTCAGAATATAAAACAAAGTGTATTTTTGTAAACATCACAGATTGCAATTTATTAATATAAGGACTTCTACTAAAATTTTAGTGATCAAATTTGATAATAAAAATCAAATGTAAAAAAAAAACAATGGATTTATTGAAGGTTGCTGTTTATCATTTTAAAGACATTCAGTAAATCAAATATCCAACAAACTGACTTAGTTATATTTATGCTTTAGTTTTAAAATTAGGATAGTTAAATAATTTTTCACAAACAACAAGGGTCTTACATAGACACACACTGCATAGTTCAGTGTAAAAGAATCAAAATAACATATTTCACGCTTTGAACAAGCTCACGCTTTTGTTGTGTCTCATTAAATATCACATTTCTTACAAAATCCTGCTCCTCACCGTTAAAGCCCTCAACAATCTTGCCCATCAGTATCTCACAGCTCTCCTCCACATCCACACACCCACCATACTCTCAGGTCCTCCTCCCCCACCCAACTCAGCCAAACACCTGCTCGTCTGACCACTATGGGCTCGAGCATTTACCATATTTTTCATCCTATAAGTCACAGTTTTTTGCATAATTTACGTGCCCTGCGACTTATAGGTGACGTATTTATGGATTTTTCCCATATTTATAAACCAATTTTGGCTGCGATATGACCGTTTTCATTCATTCTGACTGAAAACAAATTGAACAGTACCATTTTCAAACACTTGATGGGAGCAGAGTAGTATTAGCAGTAAGGCATGCCGTTGTATCATATAATGGGTAAAAGTGGCTATAATGACAAATTAATTCAAGACAAAAACAGCTGGACTTTATTTATTATACTTTATTGTTATTGTCTCACACTTTTTTGAATTTACCATGTCCTGGATGACTGAGAATCTTCACCAGTTATTAATGACACAACCGGCTTGCCAAAGTACCCCACCTTCGTTCTGCTCGCTACTTGGAGCAACTGTCAAACCAGCTGCACCGCCCCGGTGAAATGCAGCTAATTTGACCATTGAAGTGCATTTATTAAGCAACCGTTGGACTGAGACACACCTTTGCTATAATTTCGAGCAAAAAAAAATAAATCATTAGGTGCTTTTCTTGTTAAATTAGGAGAAACGACCAGCTTTCTTCCTTCCTTTTTTTCCTCCCTTTGCGCGCACAAATAATTTGGTTTTAAGTGTTAATCTGGTTAAATTCTTGTTAAAGTCCTCCCGTGCACGCTCCCATGGCTGCCACTTGGCAGCCCATCTCTTTTTTTTTGGGGGGGGGGGTGGGGGCAACACTTGCTCACATTTCCGGGTTCGGCCCACATTTTCGGGTTGTCAATGGTGACACGTAACAAATGCGATGCACCGGCAGTGACACATAATAGATGCGACATATACGGTGAAGTGACATATATTTATGGATTTTTCCACTTTTTTAGACATATTTGGACAGATGCGACTAATAAGGGGGTGTGACGTGTACAGCGGAAAATACAGTAGCTGCTCATCACCCCACCTCAGCAACTCTCTGCCCCTGAACATGAATAACTCTCCTATCCTCTGAATTTTCAAATCTCACATTAAACACCACCTCTTTAAAAAGGCATTTTCACTCTAACCTCCTTATCACAGTATCTGTGTTTGTTGTTGTTCAAATTAATATTTTTTATGTTTTTTGTTGTTGGTTTTTTTTGCTGCATTTTATATTATATTTTACTGTACAGTGTCCTTGAGTGCCATGGAAAGTGTTGTCAAATAACTTGCATTATTATTATTATTTGTTTAATAAAAATAAAAAAAATCACAAGATTTCAGCTTTACTTATCCGGTAATCTTGTTTTTGACTTGTAATATAACTAAAGTTAATTCACTGAGCATGTTTACACATACTTTCTTGATGTCTTTAGTGGTGTTTAAAATCATAAATGTGTTTTTAGCGACATTTCATTTTAATCCTGTCCTGAAGTGTAAAATCTCTAATTAATATTGTTTAAATTAATTTATGCTCCACAGTAAACGTTCCATCTCACACCTGAGCAGCCCAGAAGAGACCTCATTAGTACACATAAATTCTGTTGTAATGTCTCCCCTAAGAGATCGTTTTGTTTGTTGTTGCCAAATGTTTTGCTTCCCTCAGTGGCAGCAGTGGCGCTTTACCTGGATGTCCCCCGGGCGAGTGCCAGCGAGGTGTTTGGGCCCATGTGTCTCATGCTGCTGCTGGGGACCGTGCACTGCCAGATTGTTTCCACTGAGTCCAGCCGCTGGCCCTCAGGCAGTCCACCTGCTAGCAGCAGCACCAGTCCTGCACGCCGGAGGAGGTGGTGTTTATTTTGTTTTATCTCAACAAACTCTCACCTCTGGGCGCATACATAAACTCCCACATTAGGCACCCGGAGACTTCTCATTATCTGCACCATGGATTCTGCCACTGCCGTGATTTTAAAGCAGCTTTCTGACACAAGATAAATGATTTCAGTCTCATTTATACTTTAGAAACATGTAAAACTGCAACTTTATATAAACTCATTCAAATGGAAAGAAATATTAGAAAATTTAGTCAGTTTCCTTGTTGCATTGTACATAAAATCAGGCCCTAATGCCATCATTAAAAATGTCTGACTTTATTATTTTATTAATCACAAAATATTTTTGGTACATTTATTGAATTGTTCCTTTATTTAATTTATGTATCTATACATCTGTGATGTTATTCAAATTAATAAAACATAAATTTGTACATATGTGCTATATATGTTTTCTATTTCAAAGCTTGGGTACAGAAGTTGTGAATAAATGTATCTTTATCCTTTTTTCTCATCGAGCATCATTTTTATTCTTTCTTCAGGCCAAGGAAGGGCAGAGGGTTGAAAAAATCAGAAGAAAAGAGTGACAGCAGGAACACGGAGCTGCAGGGACTCTTGCAGTTTGAAGATAGCCAGCGATTATTCAGAAGCGAGGAGAGGAGGGTACAGTCTCTCATCTCTGTCCGTCTTTGGAGTCAACAAATGTGCGTCGTTTAACTGTGGGGGATGGACGAGTAAAACCCTCATTCTCAGCAGCATAAGCAATTTTCAAAGTGTCTATAAAACACTTTTTACTGTTGTCTTATCTACAAAAAAAAGCCTTATGGCATGCTCATCTGATATCCATTTAATTTGTATAAGATTAGACACAATTTTCACCCATATTTTCTATAATTAAACAAGTCTATTTAAACTTTATTTACATACATAGTGTTTTATAAATAAAGCATCCCAACGTGCTGTCCAGTAAAAATAAACACATTCAAACACACATTCATAGATGAAAACTGTTTGAAGAGTAGATGTGAAAATGCTTACAAAAAAAAATCCACAAACACTAAAATCTTAATCCTATTCTTTCACAAATATGCATCTTTCTTTTCCTTAAAATATTTAGGGTGGGATTATGTAAATTTAGTTGCAGAATTACATTTCATTGAAGTGCAAATGCCAAAGATGGCTTCCCTGATTTGGAAAAGCTATCAGTTGTGACTAAGTTACCATGGTTTACAGACCAACAGCCAAATATCGTTGTGTAAGGGAGTTTAGGGGATCCGTGTCAACAACAATTAGGGGAACTGACACCTGCAAATCACCTGCAAACAGTTACGGGAATATGATGAGTTTATATTTCTGAATGACATGTACAAGTGGGAAAATTTTAAAAATCTGAATAACACTGGACCAAGTATTGAACCTTGAGGTACACCACACACATTGCACATTTTGTCAAAGTTGAAATCACAAATCGACATAAAGAGGTGTCTATTTCTAATTTATGTTCTGAACCGGTTAAGAACTGGACCAGGGAAAGGTTGATTCATCTTGGTGTATTCGTCATATTGTTTTTAGTCAACTGAATTCATGTTCCCTTTCGGTCGGTACACTCGGTACAACACATTAGTATGGGGATTGCGCCCTCGCGAGACCAACCTGAAGAAGTTTCTTTCAACACGCCTGTCAAGGCAAATGAGACTGCTGCATATACAGGAGGCCCCGCCCTCCTGGCCTATAAATATGCAGCGAGGTCTCATTTCCCTAATCTTTTTGCACTTCACCTCGCTTTAACCTGATTGCAGGTCCCCTGTATGTGACTCAACTGCCCGACTGGAGGTGAGCTCGCTCCCTACCTAGGGCGTCACTACAAGGTCCTGATCCTGCTTACTGCCCGTTTAGCCCAGCTAACGATCACCTTTTCCGCTTGCTGTTTTTCCTAGCCTGTTTAGCTTGCTAACGGGTCTGGGTCACTCTTCCCCGTTTAGCTTTACAGCTAAGGAGGAAAAGTCTAGAACAGCACAGCTAACTTTCTGCCTGTTTAGCTTGCTAACCGGTAAAAGTTTACTCTCCTTCTCTGTCGCTAACATGGCACCGGAAAAGAGCAAGAGAAAAATCAAAGCCTCTAGCAAAGCTAGCAAGGCGAGAAGCCCAGGTTCACGTCCGTGTCCAAGCGCATGTGGATTTTTTCTTTCGGAAGCGGACACCCACGAAGCTTGCCCGGTGTGTCTCGGCATGTTGCATGCTAAGGCAGCACTTGCTAACCCGGAGTCATGTGCGCATTGTAACCGACTCCGAAAATCGACCCTGGAGAAGCGTGTGGAATTCCTGACAAAAACGTTAGGAAATTCAACCGCAGCAAGAGACCCGCTGTTGTCTGAGGCTCTCAGACCGACCACAGAGCTGGAGTCTGATGAGATGGAGGACAGCACCACGGCATTGTCCTGGGGTGAGCAGATGGATGGGTTGCTTCCCATGGATGACACAGATGAAAACCTGGTCAAGTTCGACGTGCAGGACTTGTTGCTGGCAGACGATATCTCTCTGACAGCCTCAGGCGGCCTCTCTGAGGATGAAGCAGGTGCGGATGAGGAAGCAGAGGAGTTTTCACAAGAAACCTGGCACCTGTTGAAGCGGATGGATCCACGCCAGCCCTGTTTGAGCTGTGCCGCAGAGCGGCCGAGTCTCTTAAGGTGCCTTGGCCCGCTCCCCCACCTCGACAGCTCCAGACAAGACTTGCTGGTAATTATTTTCTCCCGAAACAACACACCTCGGTGAGGCACAAATTACCTGTGTTTCTGGATTTTTTAACGGAACTCACACGGTCCTGGGCGTCCCCTAAGGCTCCGTTATCCCTGCCTTTCTCTCAGTTTTTGGACTTGGAGAACATGGAGCCAGCTGGTCTGTCGCACATCCCACCCATGGATGAAACACTGGCGGCCCACTTGGCACCCAAGGCAAACACATCAGCCGGCAAACCCACGCTCCCCAGCAAACAGTGCCGGTTCTCAGCAACACAGCTGGAAAAAATCTACCGCGCGCAGGGTCTCACTGCGCGTGCGCTCAATACGGCCTCGATGCTGCAGGTGTATCAGGCTGAAAAGCTGCAGGAGCTGCAGGAAGCTTTACAATCAAGAAGGAACGTCGCAGAACCGCTGGACGAGGTCCGCAGGACAGCAGATTTTATCCTCCGGCTGTCGGGCACCGCAGCTATTGCCCTGGGAAAAAGCATGGCGGAAGCGGTTGTCGCTCAGCGACA